CACACTGCAGCAGTGCCCAGTCCTGCTTCATCAGGTATGAAGGAAAGAGAAAGAGACAGCTGTTGCCACATCAACAGTTTAGTGATTAAAACAAAGATCTGACCTAAACTCTAAAGAAACAGAAACTCACCCTTAGAGAGAGAAACATCTGGTTACAGCAGGATTTACAATCAGTGATATTAGGAAATCCAAAACTATAAAAGAACAACATCCAGATCAATAAGGAAGAACCGAACACAAATTATTGAGACAGAATTCAGTTATTTCTGGTGATTACACTTCAATGAGCCATCGTAGCAGAATGGAAGCCCAACAGAGAACAGATTAGGACAAGTTATAGTCTCTGAAATCAATGAGCAGACAGACAAGGAAAGTAAAATAAAAATAAATAAAAATAAAATGTTATTTATTTAGGACCTTTGAAGATAAACAAAGTATTTAACAACAAAAGCAAGTTTAAAAAGATGGATTTTAAGGTAATTTTGGAAAGAGTCAACTGAGTCGACAGACTTCAAGCTCAGAGAGAAAGATTTCCGAGGTCTGGGGGCCACTGTGGCACAAGATCTGCTTTCCTTCGTTTGTATGATACACAGATCACATGACCTCAGGGACCTGGGGACATCCAGATGTAAAGGTTCAGTTATGGATGCTGGTGTCCGTCCATGCAGAGGTCAAAAGATCGAAATCTGAATTTTTACGTTGACTCTGAATTTAATGTGAAGCTAGTGCAGCTGAGTCAGCAACTGTTTGGCATAAGTATAGTTAGAAGGAGCAATATTAATGTGGTTTTATTTCATAAGTGATAAACACAAGAGTGAATCAGTGATTTGAAATAAACTTTAAAAGGTAAAAATTTACTCTGAGAGTCCCCTCACCACACTCCATGCCCTCAGGGGTCGGTGCGTTGGTGGTTCTTGGTGTCCAGCTCACTCCCAGTGGCTGCTTGGCGGGGCCTGGCGCCTGTGGCTCGGTCAGCCCCTTCCGGGGGGTGGGGGGCCATCAGGCCTCTGGCCTCTGGGCCTGGAGCTCGGTCCACTCTGGCGGATTGGCAGAGCCCGCGGGCACATCACTGCAGCCCCCTGTGGCTTTTGCACTACGGCTGCTGGGTGACCCCTCATCTGGGGCTCTTTTCACCTCTTCCCAGGAGGGTGGCACGGTTGACCCTCCAATGGTCCTTCTTGGGCTATCGCACTCTGGGGCCTCTGGAAGTCTGGGGCCTGGATCTCCTCCATACCTGCTTCATGCTCTGGGGGATGGGGCTATGGCTCCATACACCCCCTAGCAGATTGTTACATGGAGAAACTTTTTTAATACAAGCGCGCTGATCCACACAGGTGTGCACACGGGTGTTCACAGACACAAACCACACCTTTCTTGGCTGCTACCTCAAAGCACTTTGTGCCCTGTCGGTCTTGCGTGCTGCACAATAACATTTAATCTTTACTGTTATTTACACTTAGCTAGATTATTGAGAGGGTGTTGTGTTTTTTATGCTGCTCTCTTTTTTGCTTCTTTTCTCTTCTTCCTTTTCTTCTCTCAGCAGGTGATCCACGTGATTTTTTTAAGTGTCCTTTCTCAAGGATCATCTCAGGCAAGGCCGTGATGATCCACTTTGTAAAGTAAATCCATTGGGCATCTTTCTTGGCCTTCAGACAACAATTTTGATAGCTGAAGAACCAAACGGGACAGGCAAAAAATAAAAATAAAAGAACAATTACTCTGTGTAATTTTAATAGTGATGTGAACATGGAATGTTGTGAGTTCGATGGTTCCTAACCTGTCATGGATCTGATGTTGAGTTGGGACTTTCTGTTTGTAATTGTTATCAAGTATTCTGTGGAGTATTAGTTTGCCTTTCATGTTCTGTTTTAGAGCTTTCATTTATTACAGGGGTGTCCAACTCCAGGCCTCCAGGGCCGGTGTCCTGCAGGTTTTAGATAACACCCTGGGTCAACACACCTGAATCAAATGATTAGTTCATTACCAGGCTTCTGGAGAACTTCAAGACATGTTGAGAAGGTCATCTAAAACCTGCAGGACAGTGGCCCTTGAGGCCTGGAGTTGGACACCCCTGATTTATTTATTTACTAATGTATTTGTTTTTTGTAGGATTAGTTCAGTCATTAATAGTAATTTTGCATTTTTAAGGTCAAATAATTTTGCAGTGTAGTTTGTGTTCTAGCTTATAGTTTGCAGGTATTGATTTTCTTCTCTCAGTTCTCCTGC